TTTCAGCAGTACTAGCCAGCTGTTTGTTTTTTGGGGCGGGGTTTGGCTTGCATATTTGATTTTTCCTTCTTAAATGTAGTACTTTGCACTTGTCATTGAATTTCATCTTGATTTCAGACCAATTCTCTAATTTATCAAAGATCATTTTGACTTCTAAGCCTGTTCTCCAAAGTGCTTGCAACCCCTTTCAACATGGTGTCATTTTATAAACAAATTCCACTCTATTATCCTAGTCATTAATGAAAATGTAGTACCAGACCCAGGATTGACTCCACAAGATTCATCTTCCCAGTCTGGACAGCGAACCACTGATAACTGCTCTTTCAGTGTGGTCTTTCAATAAGTTGTGCACCCACCTTATAGTAATTTCATCTAAACCCTTTTTTCCTAGTTTGCTTATGCAAATATCATGTGGGATAGTGTCAAAAGCCTTCCTAAAAATCAAGCTATATCATTTCTACTGGTTCCCCCCATCCATTAAGCCAGTAACCCTGTCAAAAGAAGGAAATTAGGTGGGTTTGGCATGATCTGTTACTGACAAATCCATGCTGGCTATTTCTTATCACCCTGTTAATTTGTAAGCACACACAGATAATTGTTTAGTTAACTGCGAGAGAAAGGAACCCTCTAAGAGTCCCCTTATTAGTGTTGGTAGTTCATCGCTGACAAAGATGACGATATTGTTACAATTCTCATTTATGGCTACACATATCACTACAAAGTCCGAACCCTGATGCACAGTCGGCCACACCAAGGGCATGGGAAGTCCATATCTATGATTTTTGCTATGATACAGCTCTGTGGCGCCTTTCACTTGCAGCCTCGAGATTTCATCTATCCCACTCAAACCTGTTAAATGCAGATCTTGCCAGAGAATGCCAGTGAATCCTGTTCTAAGGCATTTGCTTGAGTTGAGACTGATGCCAGATAGCTGGAGACTGCTCTTCAGGTTATCTTTGAAGCGCTTATACGGAGGACCCTTCTTTCTTTTGCCCTGACTCTGCTCCCCATACAAGATCTGTTTTGGGAGACGGTGGTCTTCCATTCTGATGACATGTCCAATCCACCCACACTGTACTCTCAGTAGCATTCCTCAATGCTGGTTGTTTGCGCTCTCTCAAGGACCTTAATACTGGTCACTCTGTCCTGCCAGCGAATGCTCATTATTGAGCGAAGGGAGCACATGTGAAAGCTATGTAATGTGCTGTCTATAGAGTCCAAGTCTCAGATGCATACAGGAGAGATGTTAGAACCACAGCACTGTAAATCTTCGTTCTGGTGGAGACACGAATGTTGTGTTGGTTAAGGACTTTTGTTCAGAATCGGTCAAGGACCTGCCTGGCTTTACTAATTCTGGAGGCAATTTCCTTATCAAGGGAACCGTCACTCAAGATGGTGCTACACAAATACTTGAACTGATCCACATTTTCCAGCTGTGTGCCTTGGATGAAGATGGCTGGTACTGGGGCATTGGAATGAGGTGCTGGTTGGAACAAGATCTCTGTCTTCCCAAGAGCGATGGTGAGGCCAAAGAGCTGGGATGCTTCAGAAAACCTATCAATGATGACCTGAAAGGTCGTCACGTCTATGGGCCATCAATGCGCAGTCATCTGCAAAGAAGTGCCTCGACAAGAAGTCTCTAAAGTGTCTTGGTCTTAGAGCGGGAGCCACTGAGGCAGCAGTAGATGTATATCCCCTGATCCAAGTCCCTAGTGGCATGGCTGAGGACACAGTAAAAACAACATTGGAGTAAGTACACAGTCTTGCTTCACTGGATTTGAGATTTCAAATGCATCAGAAGAATCACTATTGGAGAGCCCTTGCACTGTCATGTGGCCATGGGACAGACAGATGATTTGTATGAACCTTCTTGGGCAACCCAGTTTATGTAGAATAGCCCATATACCCTCTCCATTGACCGTATCAAAAGCTTTGGTTAAGTCAATGAAAACTGCATACAGGTCCATGTTCTGCTCTAAACAAACATTTTTCCTGGACTTGCCTTATGACAAAGATCATGTCTGTAGTACTACAGCCAGGTCTGAAACCACACTGCGCTTCTGGCAGATTCTCCTCAGATACATTCACAATGAGTCTGTTCAGTAGAATGCGAGCTAGTATTTTCCATGTCGTACAGAGAAGAGAAATGCCTCTGTAGTTTCTACAGTCAGCTTTGCTGCCTTTGTTTTTAAACAGTGATACAATAATATCGTTGAAGTCGTGTGGCATTTCTTCTTCCTCTCAAATGCTACTCAAAATGTTGTGAAATACCTCGATACCCTTTGGGCCTGCTACTTTGTACAATTCTGCTGAAATATCATCCTTTCCAGATGCTTTGCCAGGGTTGAATTGTTTGATAGCTTTCATGACTTCTTCAACTGATGGAGGGAGGTCGAGATCCTTTGATGGGTTTCTCGGGTAACTGATCAAGGACACGCCGATCGACTGTGGATAGTTTATTGAGCAGACTATTGAAGTGTTCAGCCCTTAATAGTACCCTTGACATAAAACGCAATAGAATGGGATAATTAGCTAAGTCCCTGCATGTTGAGGTGCTTTCAGGCACAGAGACCTTTTTTTGTTTGAAAGTTCTATGATGCAACCTTATCAAACCACATCCAGGATCCATCTGTCTGATGTGGAGAGAGGCCATTGGCCCTTGAATTTTAATAGTCTCCCCACTAGGTGTTGCTTGTCAGACCTCTCCTGACCATTATCAGGCACTGTTTCTAGTGTTGGAATTTCCATTGCAGGAAGACTAGTCTCTCCTCTTTCCAGGTTTAGACTTGTTCCATTTGCCTTTGTTGCTGTCTCACCTACCATACTTCGGAGTAGCCATGAGAAAAATATTTAGACCTGTAATAAGGTCAACTATCCTTTTTCGCAGCTCTGGAGGTAGGAGGCTTCAGTAAGGTCTTTTTTTATTTATCTGAGGATTCCACCACCTCTTTGTCTAATAGCTCCCCAGTAACTGACCTCTGAATATTTCAAAGCCATTAACATATTTTTGGCATATATATTGCCCTTCCAGGCTCATAACCAGGTGCCGTCTGGTCATCACATTCATGTCTTCTGCACATGCCATGACCTCCAAAGCATCTCTGGTTGCATTGGCTATGAATGCTGAAGCCACTAAGATTTTCTTTAACTCCGAACCTAACTGCATTGATCTATCTTAACCTTTTTGGCAGTCTGGCTACCAAACTCAGTCCAGGCCAGCATGTTGCAATAGCAGAAGACCTCAGAGAGGAACATATGGCACAGTGGTATTTCCATTCTACAGTTGTTGGGTTCTTTTGGGAAAAAGTCCCCTTCCATTTGGATAGCAGTGTCTTTGACTAGTGCTGAAACTGCCCTGTCCACTTTGGGAAGAGACACAAGATCTGCTTGTCTATAGTGCACTTTCTTCAGGCTTCCCAAAAAACTCTACAATCTCAAAGACTTTGACGGTGTTTCCCTTTCAGACTTAATTACTTTTTCCAAAAAGACATGAAGGGGAATGTACGGTTCATATTTCTAAACAGGCTGGGGAATTTTATTTATTTATTTTTTTTGCAATTTCCGTAGCATTCTCCTCTTCTCCCTCCTAAGAATCCTTTCTAATGAGCTCATCTGACAGAATACCCAAGTACAGTATCTAATCACCTTTTGTAACATCTTCTCAAGTGATTAAGCCGGAAAAAGATTCCTCTTGCATCGCTTCATCCTGTGTTTCAGACGCTGAGATTGAGAGTTTCATCTTTCTCTTGTGAAGATCTTGACTTTCCACTTGACTTCTCTCTCTCTTGGACTTAGATTGAACAGATTTCCTAGCCAGCTTTTTCTTTGATGATGCCCATGAAGAGGAGGATGAAAATGAATCAAATGATGAAGAACCACCAGACACAAACAATTATATTCCCTTTAAGCTTTTTCTTTCCAAGTATGAAAATCTTGTGAGCAGATCAGTCAGTGGAACTGCTATCCCCAGAACAGGCCAGTTTTCTCCTAAGGTTCTGAGACAATTTCTTGAACCCTTTTCTCCTTTTTCAAATTTTACTCTTTAGGGAAGATAGGGATTGGAAACCTGAGTCAGATGAGGAGTCCCATGAACCTCTTCTGCTAGCAGGCATCTCTTTATCTTTGCCCATTTGAGAATGCATAGGATGCCTGTAAGGAGACAATGCAGCTACTGCCTGGGGTTCATGAGATGGCAGCCTCTGAGGTAAAAGTGCTAAAAATTGTATTGAGATTATGTTATTAAAAAAAAGTGAACAGTACAGAGTATAAGCATAGAAGTTTCTGGTTTTCAGGGAATAACGTATGGATTATCGAGGGGTGCGAAGTTCGGTCTAAGAACAGGTGGCATACAGAATACATAATCTGCAATATCCCTGATTGGGGGTAAAAGGTTGATGGGTCAAAGTACAGACATTGAGTTATGAGGGTAGGAAGTTCATAGAGTGGTTGTGTTCGGGTATGGAGTATAATGTGTGGATATGATGATGAGGATGGATTGACCTTCATTTGGTGAGATTTAATGTTCAGGGAGTTTATGGTTTCAGTTCATATTCTACACCAAATCCAAGAGCTCCCTAGCCCAAAGAGGAATTTCTTCCCTTCTTCTCACCTCCATGAAGAATTCCTGACTTCCCCTGGGGCTAAACAAAAGAGGTCAAACTGCCCACTGAGGTCTTGCGCCACAGGAGGGCACACACATGTAACAGTCTTACCAGCCTCTCCTTGCTTTGTCTGTGACAGATTCAGCCAGACCTGCTTATGGGTTCCCTGTACATCAAAGGGCAGCACCCTGGGGTAACTGCCTCCAGGAGAAGAGCGCTCTTCATTTTTCCACCGTTCTTCAAGACATTCACAACCTGGCTGTCAGACTCCCCACAGGCGAGGAACCAGCTCCTGGGACAGATTAAGATGGCCAAAGTAAAACCTTTCTGACCTTTCAGATGAGACGGCTGGACTGCACAATGCACACGCCATTCCTTCTCCATCCTCCACCAGGGATACAGAGCAGGAGGAATATAGCTTTGGTCTTCCATTTGGACCTCTCTCTACCATCCTCCTAGTCTGAGCTGCCAGGGGGAAGGGGTTACAGTAATTCCAGGCAGGAGACAAACCGACTCTTCCGGGTGTTTTTTGTTTGTTTTGTTTTTTAATTCTCTGTCTTGCAGTAGATGCTACAGGAGGCAGAACAAAACTAAGGAGTCTCCAGAATGTGGGGACTAGTCCCATATCAGCTGTCCAAGCAGCTCCAATTCTATCCCCTATAGCTACAGACTGATGAGGACCCACACTGAAGACCTGTGGCCACATCCCTGAGAGAGAAGAGGTGACACGGATCAAAAAAAGCAGAAGAGGAGGGGACAGAGCAACTGCCACACCTGGGTAGACCAATGTCCATCTAGCTCCGTTTACGGTCTCTGAAGTATCAAAGCAAAGTGCAAGAAACTCCAAAGTGGACAACTGTATTCCTTGTAGTACAGCAATGCCTAGCGGCCCCAAATCATCAGACCTCACACAAACAGGTAGTGAGAGTCTCAGCCCCAGAGAGATGAGAATCTAAATACCCAAGACAAACAAGGAGGTAAGAAAAAGTTTCTTCCTGACCCTTAGTGGCTGGCTTAGGCCCAACACAAGAGGGTTTATATACCTTGTATTAAAAACAGACATCGTTTACTGCTATTTAACAAAGGAATAAGCTTACTTCTGGCGACAGGGAGTACTGCATCCACAGAGAGCCAGCCAGCCAGCCAGCGGAGTCTGTCTGCTAAAAACCACAGGAGGAGAAGTTACAATAGATTCAAAACTTTCCCCACAGTCACTTTCCAAGCAAGCAAGGGCGGCTGTTGCCCAAGGGACACGATGCAGGGGCCAGAGAAGATCAGGGCTGGAAGAAGGGACCTCGGGAGGGATCTAGTCCCACCCCCTGCTCAAAGCGGGGCCGATCCCCAGACTGATTTTGCCCCAGGTCCCTAAGTGGCCCCCTGAGGGATTGAACTCCCAGCCCTGGGGTGAGCCCGCCAATGCTCAGCCCACTGAGCCCCCCCCCGGGCAGTCCCTGAGGCACTGGCTCTGGTACAGCCCCGCCCCCCAGCAGCGCTGTCCCGCGCCGAGCACCACCCGCTCGGTGCGGCAGCCTCGGGGCCGCCCCTGAAGTCAGTGAGCTGCAGAGCCTGTGGGGCGCGTGCCCCGCCCGCCGGCGCCGGGGGTAACCGGCCCCCGCCGGCGCAGGGCGGTTCTCACCGGATCCAGCTGCGTGGCGCTTTCCCGCGCTCAGGCCCTGCCTCGGCTCGCGCCTCAGCCGCGCAGCTCGTTTCTCCCGCCCCCGCCCAGCTCGCGGCCCGCGTCCCGCGTGACCCGGGCTGGCCAGCCAAAGCCCCGCCCTCCTCTCTCACCGGCGCACGTGGCGCTCGGCGGGCGCTGATTGGCTGCTGGGGGTTTGGGGGCGCGGCCGGCGGCGCGGGAAAGGGGGGAATCGAAACTGAAAGGCGGCAGCGGGCTGCACCGAGACTCTAAGCCACGCCCCCCGTTGGGGGGGGTCCCCGCGCTCAGACCCCGTCAGAGCAGCGTCACTCCTGCCCCAGAGCCCCCTTCTGACCCCCCAGTCAGCCCCCCACATCATCCTCTGACCCCCTCTGACCCCCTCCCCAAATCACCCCTCCCCCACAGCCCCCCTGACCCCCAGCCCCCCACATCATCCCCTGCCCCTGAGCCCCCCTGACCCCCAGCCACCCCCTGCCCCCCACATCACCCCCTGCCCCAGAGCCCCCTTCTGACCCCCCAGTCAGCCCCCCACATCATCCCCTGACCCTGAGCCCCCCTGACCCCCAGCCACCCCACATCATCCCCTGCC